ACTGTTAACGTTTATGGACGCGTTCTCCGGCTACAATCAGATCCTAATGCATCTTGACGATCGAGAAGAAACGGCATTCATAACTGATCGCGGGATATACTGCTACAAAGTCATGCCGTTCGGGCTCAAGAACGCAGGAGCAACGTATCAACGGCTCGTCAATAAAATGTTTGCAGCTCAGCTCGGAAAAACTATGGAAGTATACATCGACGACATGTTAGTCAAATTACTCAAGGAGGAAGACCACGTCGCGCATCTACGGGAATGCTTCGAACAATTGAACAAGCACAACATGAAACTAAACCCGGCAAAGTGCAGGTTCGCGGTCACCTCGGGAGAATTCCTCGGCTATCTGGTAACTCACCGAGGCATAGATGCAAATCCCAAGCAAATCAAAGCTTTAATTGAGATGCCCTCTCCAAGGACGAAGCGCGAAGTGCAGAGGCTCACAGGAAGAGTCGCCGCGCTAAACAGGTTTATTTCCTGTTCCACAGACAAATGCCTGCCCTTCTACGACACCCTCCGAGGAAACAAAAAATTTGAGTGGGACGAACGATGCGAGACGGCTTTCCAGGAATTGAAGAATTATCTGGCGAGCCCACCAATCTTAGCAAAACCAGTCGAAGGAGAGCCACTCTTCCTCTACATCGCAGTGTCTGCTACAGCTGTAAGCGGAGTGCTTATCAGAGAAGAACGATCCGAGCAAAAGCCCATTTTCTACATCAGCCAGACATTAACCGACGCCGAGACTCGCTACCCCCAGATCGAGAAGGTTGCCCTAGCCGTCGTAGTCTCGGCTCGGAAACTGCGCCCGTACTTTCAATCACATTCGATTGTTGTGCTCGCTACGCTTCCACTGCGCTCGATCCTACACAGCCCTAGCCAATCCGGTCGGCTCGCCAAGTGGGCCATAGAGCTAAGCGAATACGACATCGAGTATCGGAACAGGCCGTCAGCAAAGTCACAGGTGCTCGCAGATTTCCTCATTGAACTTCCCGTCAAAGCAACAAACGAGCCAACACTAGACGAAGTGTGGACGCTGCACGTCGACCGCTCGTCGTCTAAACACTGCTCGGGAATAGGAATCCGCCTCACCTCTCCCACCGGAGAAATATTGGAGCAGTCTTTTCGCCTGAACTTCCACGCCTCGAACAACGAAGCGGAATACAAAGCACTGATCGCCGGCATACGACTAGCACAGGGAATTGGAGTTCGAAAGATAAGAACCTTTTGCGATTCACAGCTCGTAGCATGTCAGTTCAACGGAGAATACGAGGCGAAGGACTGACGAATGGGAGCTTACCTCAAAGTGGTCCGAGAGTTGGTGCAAAAATTCGATGAGTTCGAACTCACTCGTATCCCCCGAGGAGAAAACACCTCGGCCGACGCATTGGCAGCACTCGCTTCGACCTCGGACCCAGACCTCCGGCGAACGATCCCAGTCAAAATCATCGAACGTCCTAGCATCGAAGAGGTGGAAGGAGTTCGGCTGATAAATCCTCCTGAACAAGAACCAGAGGACGACGAAGCCGTTCCTATGGACGAAGACGCCTCGCCGGCCGAGCCTGAGTACGGCTGCGACAAGGAATGACTCGGAGCTATCCGAATGTATATCGCCGATGGAGAGATGCCAACCGACAAATGGGAAGCCCGCAAACTAAAAGCTCAGGCCGCGCGGTATGTCCTCGTCGATGGCGAGGTGTTTAAGTGGAGATTTTTAGGGCCTCTCATGACATGCGTCGAAGGACCAGAGGCAAGAAAGATCATGCACGAGGTGCACAGCGGCGCGTGCGGGAACCATTCCAGCGGAAGGTCGCTCGCTATCAAGATTAAACGGCACGGCTACTTCTGGCCCACGATGGTAAAGGACTGCGAGAAATTTACAGCGAAGTGCGAGAAGTGTCAGCGGCACACTCCAACAATTCATCAACCCACCGAGTTGCTCTCGTTAATTTCATCACCTTATCCATTCATGAGATGGTCGATGGACATCGTCGGACCTCTACATCGCTCGAAGCAGAAGCGTTTCCTGCTCGTCCTCACGGATTACTTTTCCAAATGGGTCGAAGCCGATTCCTACGCAAGCATAAAAGATGTTCAAGTCGAAAACTTCGTCTGGAAAAATATCATCTGCCGACACGGGGTCCCCTACGAGATAGTCACCGACAACGGATCCCAGTTCATCTCAACACGCTTCGAAGCCTTCTGCGAGAAGTGGAAAATCCGCCTCAGCAAATCTACGCCAAGATACCCTCAAGGGAAAGGACAAGCCGAAGCAGCCAACAAGACGATCCTCAACGGTCTGAAAAAGAGGCTCGACGCCAGGAAGGGACGGTGGGCAGACGAACTCGAAGGAGTCCTTTGGTCTCATCGAACAACTCCGCGCCGAGCCACCGGGGAAACTCCATTCGCTTTAGTCTACGGATCGGAGTGCGTAATTCCCGCCGAGGTGGATTTCCCAGGTATTCGACGAAGACTTCTACCAGGACAGGAGGGCTTGAACCACTTAATGATGCTAGATGAGCTCGACCTAATCAACGAAAAGCGCGACCAAGCCTTAATTCGAATACAGAACTAGCAAGCAACGGCGCGATACTACAACAAAAACGTTCGTAGCCGAAGATTCAAAGCAGGGGAGCTCGTTCTCCGGAAGGTCTTCCAAAATACTGCCGAGAAGAACGCAGGAAAGCTCGGAACAAATTGGGAAGGTCCTTACAAGGTCACAAAAGTGGTTCGTCCAGGAGTCTACGAACTCGCGACACTAGCTGACGAGGCGATTCCAAGATCATGGAACGCAATGCACCTGAAGAAATACTATCACTAAGGATACAGCACGACCAACATGAACTACTGGACGGCTTGATCCCTGCAAAGGGTACGTAGGCAGCCCGTCCTCAGATGGGTTTAGCTGTCCCCCCTCCTAAAAAGGGGGGGGGGGAGTGGGTACGTATACATACCTCTTTTAACTCTACAATTTTAGCTTGCTCACTTAGGAACATCGCCACTTTGGCACATTCTCAATTCATTTTGAATCATCTACTTATTTCACGTCTGTTCATTATCGCTTCGGCTAGTTTCTCATTCTTTCTAAATCAGCAACTTATTGTAACACGTTCGGATTTTTTAATTTTTTCACTCATCACTTTCAGCTCGGCAAACTAAGCCACCTAACGCCTCGTCTCGTTGCTGGCCACAACGGGGCAACAAATACAAAGTTCTCTAAACGGACTTTTACCGCCTTTCCTAGGACGAGGGTGCAAGTTACATCCTCTACAGATAAAAATTAAGCGCACTATACAAATATCAGACCAAAAACGTATCAGGTCGCCACGGTTTACTATCGCACACGAGAATATAAGCCGAGACTACATCGCTTTCTCTAAAACTAAAGTAAACTCCTAAAACCCGGACAAGCATAGTCATCCTCTCGGAAACGCCGGTCCATAGTCAGATTCAATGAGAATACCAATTCGTCTTTGGCTAACGAAAACGAAAGCCAAAAAGCCTCGTCGTCCTTACGGCTCGGCACCATACAAAGTCAAAACGCCTCGTCGTCCTTACGGCTCGGCACCATACAAAACAAAAACGCCTCGACGTTTTCACGGCTCGGCACCATTCAAAACAAAACGCCTCGTCGTTTACACGGCTCGGCAACATTCAAAGCGAAAACGCCTCGCCGTAAACACGGCTCGGCATTACCAGCAAAGATTTGCCTAAACATTATCACGTAACACTCTTTTACTATCAAAGATTTGCCTAGAATCTAAATGAGGTCCTTAAAACAATTCATCCCTTAGCCCATGTTTCGGTCAAATTCGAAAATACAGTTAAGGAAGAAATCAAAATCGCTCTCAACATAACAGCCTTCGTCCTTGACAATTTTTCGTAAACATTTTTACGGATTAATGGACAAGTAAGTCCGAAAACGGCTAAGGAAAATATATTCATTAAGCGAAAATAATGAGTCGGGTGGATAAAGCCGTCCAGGCACAAAACACATAAAAGTTCAAAAGAGAGCGTATAAATCCTAAGTACAGAAGCAAGCAAGAAAAATTTGTGAGCCAAAACTCATGCCGCGGACTGCGTTTCACGATCGGCGAGAAGGTTCGAGGGAATCGGCGTACCCGCGTTCGAGCCGTTCGGGTCCACAAGTGCACAGAGGGAATTGGCCGCTGTTTCTTCGAGCGGCTCGTTGCCGAGGGTGGTGTCGACCGAGTCCGGCGATACGGGAGAGTAATACAGTTCGCCCCGAATCTCGGAAGCAATACGCTCGTACGCCTCGTCGTCGGCATACTCACTCTCCCAGCTTTTCAGCTTCGCTTCCTCATTGTCAAACGTCGGGGCGTCCGGCTTCTTCAGGTCGGCAATCATCGCAAGATTGCCCTTGATCTGTCCCAGATCGTTCTCATCATTTTTGGCCTTCTCGAGCTTGACCAAACCCTCCTCCACCTTGGCAAGGCGTTCCTGAAACTTCGCCGTCAGCTCGCGCCTCGCCTCCTTCTTCGCGCGTTTGACCTTGGCTTCGAACAGCGCGTCCTTGGCCTCGATACGCCTTTTAAGCAACGCCACCTCGGCGCTTTTGGCTCTCCTTGCTTCCTCCAGGCGAATCACCAAGGCGGAAACTTTGTTAATGTCTGCTCGAAGAACTATCTTCTCTTCTTCCAACCTCGACACTCGGGTCATCGCCTCGGTGAGTTTCCCCTTCGCTGTCGCGGCTTTGTTTTGCGCCTCTTCCAGCTTCACCTTTGACGCCGCGGTCTCATTTCGGGCCTCGTCCAAGCGACGTTCGACCTTAGACAGGTCCGCCTCATACTCGGCCATCAGATCGTTAATGGCCGCGACAAACTGCAAAGAACAAGCTCGCATAAACACTTAGCAAAAGTTTACGAAAATAAAGGAAAGCGAATAGAAACGTACCTTGGTACCACGCTGCGCCATCGCGCCGTATGACCTCGGCCTCCTCATCTTCTCCGGAAGAGGAAGACGCGTGTTCACGTTATTTACACGCGAGAACATGACGGCAGAAGCGTCAGGATCGTCAACAACCAATTTACGCGCGGCGGGGTCCCCGTCTTCTTCGACGGCTCGTCCTTCTGGACGGCGACGCCTTTCCCCTTGTCAGTAGCTGAACGTTTTTGGCTAGAGTCATGCTTCTGGACGACCGAAGTCGGTGGCCTCGTCGACTTCGGGAGGGCCAGGATGGCGGATTGCGAAGGAGTCTTACTCCGCGCCGCCGAGCCGTCCCCGGACACCTCGGGGATAATTTCGCCCGGTTCCACCTCGGGCACTACATCTTTCTCAGCCGCCTCGGCAGTGTCGCCTTCTGCGGCTCGGATCATCACATCCCCTTCCCAGCTCAGAGGGTCGGGTTGAAGGACGGCCTCGGTTTGCGCTAAGACCGCCTCGGCTTGCGCCGGAACCACCTCGGTTTGCGCGCGAGCCGCCTCGGCAGCTCGTCTAGCGGCTTCCTCTTCCTCGCACCTCTTCCTTTCTCTAAGGGCGATTACCACCATCTTCTCTCGGGTATCTCTCGAAGAACTTGAGGATGAAGAACTGACGGGGACTCCGGCAAGGATGGCTCGCGTTTTTTCTACTCTTTCGAGGGTGAAGTTTTTTCTCCAATTAACCTTCCGCGCCGAAAGAGAGTCTCGAACAGTAAAGATAGCACCGAACTGCAAAACAAAGCAAAAAAGCAAAAGTTTCAGAAAAGGAAGAGAATATATACTGAATCTCCGAGCCGAGGCAAATCTTCGGGTCGGCTACCAAGTGGTCCCCAAGCGGTCTTGGTTCGGTGAACGTAATCTTCACCGACCGACGCCTCGTTCACCAAGACGTAGAAGAAGCGTTCAGTCCAAAACTGATCCTTGCTGGGAAAACCGCCAATAATCCGTCGCTTCGCCTTGTTGGAAATATAGAACCTATTTCCTTTCGGAGCTTTCAGCTCGATGTCAAGACCGCATTCGAAGCTTCGGACTAAAATGCCGATCATATGCCGTAATCCCCTCGGCATAATCTGCCCAATCGAGATCCTGTGTTTCCAAAGGTATTCGAGGATCACTCCGGGGATCGGGAACCAGAGAAAGCAAAGTTCGAAGAACGCCTCGTACAGAGTGAAGTGATTCTCTGGAGGCTTGTCGGCTCGGTCGCTCTTCTCGGGAACGACAAACTCCACCGCCTCGGATATCCCGAAGCGATGCCTCAACGCCTCGAGCGACTCAAGGGAAGAAAGCGTAGAGCCAGGCGGATCAGGCGGATCAGGCTTTAGTCTTTTAACTTGTGGCCTCGCCCAGATGTGGAAGCGCCTCGGGATGCCATGAGACGTTCCAACTCGTACTTAGCCTCGAGTAGGTCAAAGAGAAACGCTTCCTCCTCGGCTTTTACTGTGGCGCGATTAACACCTTCATCAGGAACCGGGTCCTGGGGACGGCTCGTCGAAGCCAACGGCTCGTCATCTGCAGAACCCTCGTTTGATGGATTCGCGTCATTCGACGCCTCGTCAGATGAACAATTGGAAGGGTTCGGCGAAACAGACACCTCGGAGGATTCTGTTGAACTTCTCGCCTCGGCATCTACGCGGCTCGGCTCGTAATGAAAAAGCGAGTCCAACGAATCATCGGAGCGGCTCGACATGATTTACAAGTTATACTAGAATTACAGAAGGACTCGGCGAACCTCTGCCAGAAAAAGATCTGGGATGGCGGAGACCTCGGACACCCTAGCTGGAAAATAAATAAACTATAGAGAGAAAGAAGAGAGAAGGGAGAGCTACCTTTAGTGAAAACGAGTGAGTCTGGAGATAATGAGGAAGAGTGAAGGAGCTCACCTATTTATAGAAAAAACAAAGCGCGTGAATTCCGCGTAAACCTCGGGAAGCCGTCTAACAGCGCGTGGGATCCGCGGTGAACTGGCTATACCGGACTGCGTCGTTGGCACGCGCCGAAAGATCAGGAATTTCCTCTCGGAAGACCAACAGTCAGGGTACCCAGGTTAACGAAACGGCTTGGTATTGACTCTTTCCCTCTTGAAACGCCTCGGCGTTAACGAAACGGCTCGGTATTGAATCTGTTCTCTTGAAACGCCTCGTCGTTAACGAAACGGCTCGGTATTGACTCTTTCTCTGTCGAATCGCCTCGTTGTTAACGAAACGGCTCGGCGTTGAATCTGTTTCTTGAATCGCCTCGTCGTTAACGAAACGGCTCGGCGTTGAATCTCTTTCTTGAAACGCCTCGTCGTTAACGAAACGGCTCGGCATTGACGTTCTTTCTTGAGACGCCTTGCCGCTAACAAAACAGCTCGGCACGAGCTTTCTCTCGAAACGCCTCGCCATTTGTTCGGCTCGGCATAACCTCCTCAAATCACCTCGTCATGGGCTATCACTATTAAAAAAAAAAAAATATTGCTTCGTCCTTAATCTTGCCTCGGCATCCTCGGTACCATCTCGAACACCTCGGCATCCTCGGCACTCCTTGGGAACGCCTCGGCGTCTTCATTCCCAAAACGCCTCGGCGCCTTCATTCCCAGAACGCCTCGGCGCCTTCATTCCCAGAACGCCTCGGCATCTTCATTCCCAAAACGCCTCAGCGTCTTCATTCCCAAAACGCCTCGGCGTCTAACTCAGTGGTTTATCCTACGGTCGGAAATAATGGACCTCGTCACTCTCGCCTCCGAAACTGACGAGCTGGGGGGCTAACTGTTGGGGTCGGTTTTCACCCCAAGTAGATAAACCACCTCAGAATGGCTAAGTGTGGAAGAAAGATAAGTGGGAGAGCCGTGGTCGCCAAGTGGGAGAGCCGTGGTCGCCAAGTGGGAGAGCCGTTCTCACCATGACAAGTGGAGAGCCGTTCTCACCAAGACAAATGGGAGAGCCGTGCAGATAGGCCAGTAGGGAGAGCCGTGAAAGAAGACAGGTTGACCGAGCCGCATCAAAAGAAATAGGCCGAGCCCCACTTCAACACGTTTGGGCCGAGCCGTGTATCGGTGCGGTGGGCTAGATCATGTCCCCATGGCAAGTGGGCTGAGCCGTGAAGAAGGCTAGATGGGCCGAGCCGTAAAGATGCTTGGACGGGCCGAACCAAAGCCTTGAAAGATGAAGCCCATGGAAAACCCTAGGCGAGATGCAAAGGCGGTCAGTCGCATGAGGCGATAAGGAAATATTCCGAAAATCTCGCCCGAGATTTTCGGCTAGGCGGTTTAGAAAGTTAGTATAAATATATGATGTATGCAATTCATTCCGCCAACTTTGGCAACCCTAAGCAACAAGGACTAAACACTTTACAGCAATAAAAATCCTCTTTTGATCTTACTGTTCTTGCGATTACCCTAGAAGTTTCAGATCCCTTAGTTTCTCTTCACAAATTCTTGGTTGTGTGAGTTTTGGCTCACACACTTATTAGTCTTTCATTCGATATAATGAAAATCAAAGGTTGTAAGCAATGAAAACGGACGCTGGGCTCAAGGGCTTTCGCAGGGATTCATGGACTAAGCTATGTCGATTTTAAACAAATGATAAAGGTAATCAACTACGTATGTTCTAGAACTCAAGGCACAAAAGTATGAATAGCCTACTTTCGCAGCACTAAACAACTATCTCTCGCAACCCTGATCTGTAGGTTTCCACTCTGGTCCTGGAAGGGAGAAGATGCAATAGCAGAACAAGACACATCAACATTCACAACTCAACTACAGGTAGGTTTCCACTCCTATAGAAGAACTGCTCATTTCACCCTAGTTCAGACAATCAATGAAAGCTTTCGCAACATATCATATCAGATCGGCTTCTAAGTGGCCAGCAAAGAATCACGCAGTAAAATCAAAGGCAAAAGAAGAACATCTAGAAGATTATAAATCCTAAATCTATCGACTCATAAGCAAAGACACACGAAATTCCCTTTTAAAAATCTCTTTAAACCCAACTGGGGAACTACTCAAACATATTGTAACAAAGCATCATAGAGTGTTGAAATTTGCACGAAATTAAAGAAAACAGGTAAGAAAAACGAAGAACGGAGAAACAGATGGAGGCGCGATGGCTTCTTCCAGCGGCGGCTCCTTCTTCTGAGACGGCGGTGGCCTCTAGGGATCCACACGAAATCTCTCTCTCTCTAAGTATATTTTTCTATCGATCTCTCTCTTTTTGTATCAGAATGACCTAAAGAGGGTATTTATAGCTTCTGGAGTTGTCCTGCATACTTAGGGCTTCAAAAATAACGAAAGGAATTCATCTGGGATTTAATTAAGTCGTCTGGAAAGTGAATGTTTTCTGGCCGCGTTCGTGATAGTCCCACCCGCAGGGAAATAGGTGTTGGCCGCGGTCCGGGCTCGTGGCTTTCTTCTGGAACTGCATTTTCTGTCATTCTTGTGTCAGGAGTATCTGAAGATCTAACCGTTGGATTGTCTCCAAACCAAGTGCATTAGAAAGCTCGTTGGATTCTCTATGTTGTCTAATATTTTAGGGGTGATCAGACGGTGAGAAGGTCTTCATCGCTTGCCATACTTCTGATGGTCTGCATTTATCTAAAATTGCTCATTTGTTCCAAATTTCATATCTTTTGCCCAAGTTTCCTGGAAAGTCTTTTGAAACTATAAAACATTGAAAACACTTTAAAAAACCATTGAAAACAGAGTTAAAACACCTGCATAAGACATAATTATGATCCATAAAAGTCGTCAAAATACGGTTTTATCAACTCCCCCAAACTTACCTTTTTCTTTGTCCTCAAACAAACTGAGATCAAGTCAGGAAAGAATTTTCAAAATCGCAGGAACTAAATAATATCTCAGTGACCGCCTTTCTAAACCATAACTTATCGTGAAACATCTATGATAGTAGGTTTTTAGCCTACTAAGGTCAATTAACCTCTTGTGTTGTAGCACTTGAGGGTGAATCCAAATGGAGATTATCTAGACACCAAGACTATGAGGAGATATCTTAATTCAAGTCTAGTAAGCAGATGAGTTGGTGATTAAGTGATCTAAAAACATAAAACAAACAAGAACAAGCAGTAATTAAGAATTAAACAAATAAGAGAAACTAAACAAAGACTCAAATTCAAAATAAGAGAAAGCTAAACCTCTAGATGTGATCATTGATTAGGGTGCTATGTGAATTCATGATGCTAAGCAAACATTGCAACACTTGCAATTCTTTAGTCTAGACTTCCAAATAGATTAATTCATTCTCATGACAAAAAGCCCTTTGTTAATTACCAAATCAAGACTAATTCCTATTAGATGAATAAGCAATCAACAAGCATAAGGTTCCAAGTCTAAAATGACCAGACAGCCTCTTTGTGCATCAAAATAAGAGCTAAGAAAGACTGAATCTTATACAAAAAGATAAAGCAAGCATCACATGATCTCAAATTCCAATTAACTTAGAACTCTAATCTAGATTAATCCTCTCATGAAGACATTAACCTCTACACTAATCCATTTTCAAACCAAATCATCATTTGTGAAATATGAATCATTGAGCATTAAGAAACAGTTCTAATATGTCATTTATGCATTTAACAATCATTCCCATGATGAAAAAGGCATAAACCCTTAAGTTAGCTCATTCAGGCATTTCATCAAACACCTTGTGGGTGGAGAAATGCCTAAGTTCTAGATCCAGCTTATAATGAGAGATATAGCATTAGGATCAGCTAACTAAGAAAGGAGAAGAGAATCTAAGCTTAAACAATGATTAATATACAACTAAGCACCCTAATCTACACACCTAGAAGCTTAAAAGAAGACTACTCACTAATCATGATGAACACACCATTTTCTTTGCAAGAGGTGATGTTCTTGATTAGGATTTCTATTGTTCTTAGCCATATTCTGGATATCATCTCTTCTAAGTTATTCGAAAAGCATGAGCGTAGATTCAAGACCTATTCTTTGAGCATAGGATTGATCAGAGCCACGAGAGTGCTGTATCAGATCATCCGTACCTAGCTTCAGAAGAACATAGTCGCTATAGGAGTCGAAAGCTACCTATAGAGAAGATGTGAGCAGACTAATTCAATGTCCAATGCATGATCTTAAGTTTAGCATGAGAGCGAGGGTTAATTGCTAGATATAAGAGATTAGTTGATTAAGGTGACAACAGTTGGTTAATCATACATATGTCTATTCTAGTTCAATGCAGATTCCCAGAAACAAATGAAGATAAATCGCCCGGAAGCTAATTGGAAATGCCAGCATACATCGATTAGAGTAAACCGGAGAAGTTTAAATCACCACCTATGAGTTTAAAAGACTTTAGTTTGAGTCGATATGCTTTAAATGTTCTTTTAACAATTCATCCTACATTGCATTTCTTGTGAATACTAGATTAGGTTTAGTTTAGGATCTTAACCAAAAACCCCAAATCTTTTATTGGTTTATGACTTTGCTTACTTCACAGATTGTTGTTTCTTGCAGATTAGACATCCTCCTTGTGGATCGACACCCTAAGTCCTACAACGTACATCTGTGCACTTGCAGACACTAGGGTTTTATAAATTTAAAACTTAAGGCGGACCAACGGGCTTGTTAAAAACAACCCTAGGCCCGCAAGCCCATCAAGTTTTTTGCGCCGTGCTGGAGAGGCATGAAGTCGCTGGAGGTCTAAACCTGGGAGGTTGAAGCCGCAGATGACTATA